ATGTCCTCAGTAGGTAAACGGTTAAACGGGCTGGTATACAAAGAAGGTGGTGAGGCGATAAAAATAACCATGTATTGATTTGTGCTGCACTTCGGATAGATCTCAAGGGTATTATGCTCAGTGAGAAAAGTCAGCGGCAATAGGCGACCAACGGTGGGACCACGTGTATATAACACCCTCAAAGTGAGGGTAGTGTAGACAGAGGAAACAGAGAGGAGGTTCCAGGAGCCTGGTGGGGGGAGTGGAAGGAGACATTCGCGTGTGTGAGGAGGTGGTGAGGGGAGATCTTTGTGGTGACGGAGAAGTTCTGCATCCTGATTGCAGGGGTAGGGAGGGGATGTGAACTCACACATGTGACAGTGACATGAGACGACATGCACATGGAGCAAGGTCAGTTTCCGGGTTCCGTTGTGGCACTATCCTGTGCAAGCTGTAGCCACCGGGGGAAACTGCACCAAGGTGGCGAGGGATCTCTGTGTACGAACCCTGTTATTTTCTCTTTAATCTACAAGTGTTCAAAATAAGAACGTAAAGCCTTCCAATATTTTAAACTAAGAACATGACATATTCATTTATTGGCCAGACTTCACTAAAAGAAAGAACTGGTAAATTGCAAATAGTCCAGGCTGAGCATAGGGATTTTAAGAATGGATGCATTAGAGGTCTTGGGCGCTCAGTGGGAAGACAGAACGTATGTGCAGATTCCCAGAATGGGAAGGAAGAATGGGCGGAAGCGAACTTTGGAAAGACAACGGGTAAGAATTTCCCTAAATGGAGGAGAGGTGACAGATTACAGATTCCAGAAGTTCTGTGAAACCCCAGGAGAACAAGCACAAAGAAGCAATCAACTAGCATCCTAGTAAAACTACCTAGACACAAAGGCAGAAGGCAAGTGTTACAAGCAGTCAGAGGGGGAAAGAAGTCACATTGCCAAATTACCTTCCTAAAAGCCACAGTGAGACCGACACGTGACATCCAACCAGAAGCCACAGGAGAAGGAAGTCGATGGGCTCATGGATTTAATCTGCCAAAGGAAAAGATTGTCCACCCTGGAACTTTAGACCCAGCAAAAATATCAAAAGGGAAGGCAAAATAAAGACATTTTCAGAGAACCAAGAACGGAGGGAATTGTATCAAAATGAGAAATTATAAAGACAGTTTTTCAGACAAGAAAAAAAAATGACCCCAGGTGAAATTAAGAAAACATAAGAAAGAAAGATCAATGGAGGGGCACCTGGGTGACTCAGTAGGTTGAGCATCTGACTTTAGCTCAGGTCATTATCTCATGGTTTGTGAGTTCAATCCCTGCATTGGGCTCTGTGCTGTTAGAGCAGAGCCCACTACGAATCCTCGGTCCCTTGTTCTCTGCTCCCTCCCACCCCTGCTCACACACGCACATTCTCGGTCTCTCAAAAATAAACAAATATTTTAAAAAATGGGGAAAGATCACTGGAAGGAGAAATATGTAGATTTATATAAATAAATAATGGCTATATAAAATAACAATGTCTCGTGGGGTTTTAAACATATGTAGAATTGGGGCACCCGGGTTGCTCAGTCGGCTAAGCATCTGACTTTGGCTCACGGTTTGTGGGTTCGAGCCTCACATTGGTCTCTGTGCTGACAGCTCAGAGTCTGGAGCCTGTCTTCGGATTCTGTGTCTCCCTCTCTCTCTGATCCTCCCTTGCTCATGCTGTCTCTATCTCTCTCACAAAAGTAAATAAATAAATAAATAAAATGTAAAAAAAATAAACATATGTAGAATTAAAATTTATGACACTAATAACACAAAAGGTGGGGAGTTAGGCATAATAATAAAAGACTATAAAGCTAATAAGCTAAAAATAGGAAAATGGAATAACATAAAGCATTTGATTCAGACAAGAAAACGGAGGGGCACCTGGGTGGTTCAGTCTGTTGAGTGTCCAACTTCAGCTCAGATCATGATCTCAGAGTTTATGAGTTCGAGTCCCACATTGGGCTCTGTGCTGACAGCTCAGAGGATTCTATGTCTCCCTCTCTCTCTGTCCCTCCCCCAGTCTGTCTCTCTCAAAAAATGAATAGATTTTGTTTTTAAAAAAACAAGAGAGCAAGTCAGGCAGAGAAGGATAGCTACCATATGTTTGCATGTATAGGAGGGTTAGGAGGAACTTAACAGAGGACCATGGGGGAGAAGAAGGGGTGAAGTAGGGAGGGGGAGAGGGAGGGAGGTAAACTGTGAGAGACTCTTGAATGTTGAGAACAAGCTGAGGACTGATGGGTATGGGGGAGAGGAGAAGGGAGGTGATGGTCATGGAGTAGGGCACTTGTGGGGATGAGCACTGGGTGTTATATGGAAACCAACTTGACAATAAACTATTAAAAAAAAAAAAAGACAAGAGAGCAGAGAAAAACATCATGTAAGAGGCAGACCAAATAGCAAACAAATAGTAAGATGGCAGATAGGCACGTCAATGTGTCCATAATTACCCTAAGTAAATGGATTAACATTGAGAAAAATCATCACGCTGGATTTAGAATCAAATGAAAAAAAAAAACAAAAAAACCAGCAACAACTGTAGACTGCATACAGGAGACACATTTTAAGTGTCAGAGAACAGAAAAGGAAAGCAAACCAATGGAAAAATGCATCCCTCGACCACTAATTCATAGAAACGGAATGTAATCGCAGTGACTTCATTGTATGCAGAAGGTTTCATAGAGATAAAGTGAGCATTTTGCAGTGATGAACGGGTCACTGGACGGGAAGACTTGACAACTGTAGATGCGCGTGCAGCTGGGTACTGAAACTTCACTCTACCTAGGCAGACATGAAAGAAGCCACGGGCAGGCTCATAGCCATAGCTGAGATGTTCCTATTTGTCCCTTAGGAGCCAATTTGCATTGCTCTGGGTATTACAAGAGTGAAATTGATTTTGTGTCCTCATTTTCTTGGGCTTGAGCTGGGAACCAGCTGTTTTTCTATTTTGTCTCCTTTCCCTGCTTTCCCACTGGAACTCTGTCCTTTCACTTCTCTATAATGTGAGCCCTCCTTTAAGATTGGCTTTATAACATATACTGTATCTCCTGCCAGCGTCTGCCTTTCTGTTTTGTTTGAGTCATGTAAGTTTTATGAAATGAAATCGTCTCGTCAGCTTATGTGGTGGATTCCATTGCTTTCGTTCTTCAAATCTGCAAGAGGGGGTTTTAATATATTTATATTTCCCGAGACAGGATATTCTGGTGAGTGTTAGCTAGTGACACTATAGGTTCAAAGCAGTTTACCTCATGTAAAGGAATCCTTTCACACCATCATGGGATTGTCTGTTGGAATTTTAAAGGTAGTCTTTCTTTCTAACTAGAAGGATCTTCCTTCCAAATCTTTGTTTTTTGATAAATATTTGTTGTGCTTCTGCTAATGGGCAGGGGCAGGTTCAAGGAGCTGGGATAAAGCCACTATTAAACAGACCCACCCTCTGCATAGCCCATGGTGTGGTGGGAAGAGGGAGGCAGTAAACTATGATACAAATAAATGTGTGCTTCATGCAAGATGGGAAGCAGGATGGGGTGACTAAGGTGACCTTGGGCTCAGCCTTGATCTCAGGCTGATGCCTGCTTTGGCCGTCAGCCCCTTTCACGAGCTACGTCTGAATCTGCTCGCTCCTTCTACAGTGATTCCCCGGGGAACTCCACAAATCAGGAACCAAGTTTGTATCAAATCATACCCGCCCTGCCCTGCCCAAGTCAATGGTATTCAACGAGCGACAGTGGATTCAAATTGATGAAAATGATTTGTTTTTGGAGAAAGAAAAAAGCTTGTCTCAAAGATTAATTCTTAAATGAAAAATAGTGGGCATGATTCACATGGGGGCCATAAAGTCTGTCACATCTAGATTGTTCTAACAACTAGGAAATGCCCAGATATGTTCAGGAGGGACCTGAGGATCTTGAAGTTGCTTCGAAAAGCTCGTACGTGAAGCTGAACGTCACATGATCACGACCCAGACAATGGTTCTTGAGATTGGCTTTGATACATGAGTGCTTTGGATGACAAGCATGTTTCTGGAATGCAGGACACTTGCAAACCAAGGCTTCACTGTGTTTTCAAAGCGCCCACCCCCACTGCCCCATAACCCGAATGTGCCGCCAGATTGAACCCCATGTGACTGTGCCAAGGTCACGTCTTAATTGTCATCATACGTGACACACTTGTCCTCAGCTCCATACGCTGCCATGACCACCTCGGAAACAAGTCCAGGCTCTAGCTGTGACACCATATATTTCTTCCTCATTGGAAAATGCCCGTCTGTGCCCAAGAAAACATGGGGCTACTTGGCCAGTTAGGGATTTTACCTACAATTCATCCCTACTGGCTTGCAACACATCTCTTGGGATGCGCTTTAGTATCTGCTAAGAATCCAGGTCTAGGTGGCCAAGGCTTTGTGTGTTTTACTTTTAACTGGGTTCGCTGGTCCATCATACCTTCCTCATGACAGAGCACCTACCAAGGCACAGAGAGCTGTCAAGGGACAATCATATGATGTCGCATTTAACAGAAGCAGAAACAAGACTTGTTGGCTTACCAGGATCCTCCAGGCTGGGGGCTCTGCTCATTTCTTTCTGAGATTAGGCAGGTGGAGGGAAAAATAAATGGAGTCATGCTCCTGGGTCATTTCAGTGGCTCAGTTGGTTGAGCGTTTGACTTCAGCTTGGGTCATGAACTCGCAGTTAGTGAGTTCGAGCCCCACATCGGACTCGTTTGCTGTCGGCACGGAGCCTGCTTTGGATCCTCTGTCCCCCTCTCTCTCTGCCCCTCCCCTGCTTGCCCTCTCTCTCTCTTTCTCTCTCAAAAGTAAATAAACATTTAAAAAAATTAAATGGAGTGATGCTCCAGCCTTCCTCAAGGAGCAGCCAGCTGATGATGCATATACTGCCTACTCTGTGACCAGCACCTTGCCCCAGACCCAAGCAGGGCTCTGAGACCCCCAGGGGGCCATACCCAGCAGGTGTGGTTGACTTACAAAGAAAGGGATCAGGCCCTCCGCCTTGTCTCTCTCCAGAGCTTCCTGTAGGGCAGAACCGCGCATGGCAAACTTCTCATCGGAAGGGATGGCTTTCAATTTCACTCCTCCAATCAATCCAGCTCTTTCCACGGAGGAGTGTGCCTGGAAAGAAAGCGGCAGCGTTAGATTCTCGCGTGCGTGTCCTGTGCAGTAGCCATGAGCACCCGGCTCTGCAGAGAGCTCCCAGCACTGTGGGCCCCCTCCCCTCCCTCTGCACCTGATCCTGGAACCTTGCTTTGCAGTTTAGGGGGCAAGTAATGAGATCTTGCGAAACACACTCCAAAGTAGAGTTAGCACACCCGACTTCTTATCTGGGGGTTCCTCTTACCATGGGGCTTTGGGCAGTTTGAAGGCCATGCTCAGTGTATGGCGTCTGGAGAAAAGAGACCAACGACATGGCACCATTATGGGATGGCAGAGCCACTGTGTCTCAGGAACCCCAGGAAGGCCGGCTCTTACAGACAAGTCCCCCGCTGTGCTCTGCAGCCCCCACCACCACCGTCTCCTACTTGACTCCATCCTGGGGTCTGGATCTCGCCAGTATGGTGGCCCAGGTCCCAGTGGGCGACAGCAGGGGCAGGATTGCAAGCCCAGGGAGCCTGGGGGGACTCCAGGCCCTTCCCCCGTGACCTCAGTGGACCTCCAAGACCTCATGGGTGCACTGAGAAAATTACGAACGTCCACTTCCGAGCATACTTGTAAAAACGACTGACAGGTTGCACAGTATGGTTTTGATTTGACTTGACATCAAACAAGACATTCGGATCTTGGAGACTCAGAGGGGCTTTAGCCCAACACACTCAGCCAACACACTCACCTGATCCGAGGAGTACGCCACTAGCTTTTCCATGATGGCACCCTGCGTCAGCCCGGGGGAGGCGGCCTGCAGGCGGCGCGTCACTTTGGTCCGAGCAGCCAGCAGGGCCATCAGAGTGGCCTCACTGGCACTTCCCTAGATCAAAGAAAGAGTCAAAATGAGCTTCAACGTGAAGCAAAGAAATCGATCTCTAAACTGCTGGGAGACATTACTATCCATATTGTTCTCAAGAGATGAATCTGAAGTGGCAAAACTTATTCTCCTTCCCACAGGAAAAATCAGAACAACCTGTGATGGCCATTTCAGCTCTTTTTTTAATTTTTTATTTATGTTTGAGAGAGAGAGAGAGAGAGAGACAGAGCATGAGCTGCGAAGGGCAGAGAGAGAGAGAGGGAGGCAGAGAGAGGGAGACACAGAATCCAAAGCAGGTCCCAGGCTCCAAGCTGTCAGCACAGAGCCCAAAGCGGGCCTCGAACCCATGAACAACTTACTCTGGCAAAGAACTACAGAAAGGCGCAGTCTCTACTCCTTGGGGGCTGAAAGTGGGTTAAAGATAATGTAGACTCAGCACCCACCATGTCGTTCCACTTAATTCACAAAATAACCCTGTTTATATTTTTATTTATTTTTTAAAACTTTTTTAAATGTTTGAGAGACAGAGAACGTGAGTCGGAGAGAGGCAGAGAGACAGAGAGACAGGGAGACAGGGAGCCACAGGCAGGCGGGGGCCTCCCTGCATTTATAAGCAATGCCCCCCTCTTGTTACTGCTCACAATCATCACCTCTTAAGTAAATCCTGGAGGAAACCCATGAACTGAGTGGTGTTAACATTAGAAAGGAAAAAACATAAAAGAAGGTAGATCTTGGTTGGCTATGAGAGATTTGTAAGATTTGAGAGTTTTACAGAGAAATACGTATTAAATAATTAGGCCAACCTCCTCTGCTAACATTTTATCTTCATTTCCCCTCGTTGATCCCAATTTCCCCTTCTATTTTATCATCTTGATGCTTTTACATATTCTTTTAAGCCAACTCATATCCTCCGGGGAGACAGGTGAAGTTTGACCATAAACACATTTACTCGGAGTTTTGTAGCTCAAATGCGAGGACTCAAATATACACATACAATCATCTTCGTCTGGCATCTCAGGTGGGTTTCACATTTCTTCAGGCCATATTGTCGCTGGCAGTCATTTTATTTTATTATTGTTTTAAGTTTGCTTATTTATTTTGGGGGGGAGGAGGGGCAGGAAGAGAGGGAGACAGAGAATGTGAAGCAGGCTCCGCGCCATCGGTGCAGGGCAGGACAGCGGGAGGGCTGGAGCTGGGGGGCGTGGGCTGCCCTCGAGCCTCTGAGCTCTGGACACCCCACTGCCGATTTCTTTCCTTGGGCAATTTGTGTGTCCAACCACTTTTGGCTGCGTCGTGAAGGAGGGGACTTTTGTCTTATCACGTGGACTGAATCTGCATGGTGATTCCGCATGTGGCTCAGGGGAGAATGGGGAGGGGCTCGGGGGGTAAGGTGAGGTGCGAGGCCTCGGGCAGACGGTGGGGTGTCAGGAGGGGGCTGCGACCCCATGTGAGCGTTGGGGACAGAACAAGGCAGATGGATTCCAGCACCCAGGAGCTGTGCCTTTCGAGAAGCTTTGCAGGGTCCATTTCAGACGAGAAGGAGCGAGACTATCTGGGACACACACACTGTGGGTACACGAGGAGGCCCCCCATGCTGGAGCGTGAGCCCCTGTGCCCGCTATTGGGGAGCTCGGATTCCCCGCGACTGGCCGCCCAGCCTTGCCAGCCCATGTCAGGCCTGTTCATCTACCACCTCGCAGATGATTCCCAGTGAGGCCACCTGCACAGCTCAGTCGGCTTAGCATCCGACTGTGGATTTCGGCTCAGGGCATGATCTCAAGGTTCGTGAGCCCGAGCCCCGTGTCCTGCCCTGCACCGGTAGTGCGGAGCCTGCTTGACATTCTCTGTCTCCCTCTCTCTCTGCCCCTCCTACCCTTACCTCAAAATAAATAAACTCCAAGCAGATTTCCTGTCATTTTCGGGAAGCCACAGAGGCAGGAGCAGGAGGAAGGAGCGGGGTGTGTTCCGGGGCTCAGGCTGCATAATGACACCTCGTCACTTCAGCTGACAAAGGTTGCCATGGCAAACCAGCTACGCGGCAGAAGGGGACGCTGGCGACAGCCGACGCCGGGCCCAGAAATGTCCTTTCAAGTGTCACCCACACACGGAGGGAAATTGGCTTTTCTTCCACAAGAGCTTTCAAACCCAATTAAGAAACCATTTTCCAGCCCGGTTTGGGCAGCTCACACGATCACTTGCCATTGGATGCTGTTGCCTGTCATTGGGCCAACGTCTAGTAGCTGTGATTGTGGCTCGGAGGGGTGCAGCACCCCCCCCACAGCCCAGCCCCACGGCTGTCACCAAGCTGGGCACTCTCTGGGGCCTCACACAATGAGCCTTGTCAGGTGGGAAATGGGGGGGCTCCTGTTGCAAACACACGTGGCAGCTGCTTGTGTTCGTCCAGCAAAACTGAGCGGATGGGGCTCCAAGGAGGACTTGACTCCAAGGGCAGAGAGATGCCGGCATGATTCCCAACCGATGCTAGGGCTGCCCATGTTTCTGAAAAATGGGATCGTCTTTAAAGGAAAGATAACTGAAAGACTGAGCCCAGGGCAGCACGCACACCTCTGGACACTAACCCAAGCAAACAGTCAAGGATGCGCCTGAGACGCTCCTCGGTCCAGCCCACTGTTATCCTAGCCTCTAGTTAGCGTGTGCTCCGGGGCACTGTACAGTCCCATATTGGCCCCAGCTTCCTCGGCTATGAAAAAGTTGCCGCTAAAGCAATGAACGCTCTGGGGCACCTGGGTGTGCCAGTCCTCTAAGCGTCCAACTCCTGATTTCGGCTCACAGTTCATGAGTTTGAGCCTCGCATCGGGCTCCGTGCTGACAGTGCGGAGCCTGCTTGGGATTCTCTCTCTCTGTCCCTCCCCTGCTTGCTCTCTTTCTCTCAAAAGAAATAGACATTAAAAAAATAATTTCTGCATTAAAAAAAGCAATCAACCCTCACAACAATTTCTAGGTTGGAAAAGGCTCACATAAAGCACAAAGAATAAGTAGAGGTCAGAGTTGGCACTGAGTAAAAAGTCACTGTTAGTATAGAGGGCATGCCTGAGATTATCTGAGATTATGGGGTATTTGTAAGATTTTTAAGAAGTATCACATTAGAAGAATCATCTTGGATGGCTGAAAAGAGCTGAATGAGAAATTGTTTGGGTTGGAAGATCCAATGCCCCAGAAACCCTATTTATTTTTGTCTTATTTTGATTTTTTGGTGGAGCATGAATGCTGAATTTGGACTTAACCCAGAGAGCCCCAGGAGGAAGCTGATAAGCTTCTTAGCATACTGTTGCCCCTTGACCTAAAAGAGGATCCTCTGACATGTTATTTATAAAGGAAACAATCTGATACAATATAAGTCACGTACAGTATTCTTATTTTTTAAAGTGTATTTGTTTTGAGAGAGACAGAGACAGTGTGAGTGGGGGAGGGGCAGAGAGCAAGGGACAGAGAATCCCAAGCAGGCTCCGCGCTGTCTGCGCAAAGCCCAGTGCGGGGCTCGAACTCACAAACCCTGAGATCATGACCTGAGCCGAAACCAAGAGTTGGATGCTTAATGGACGGAGCCCCCCAGGCATCCCTGGGTGTATATATTTATTATGTATATAAATTGTGACACATCATAGAAAATCATGCAGTAATTGTCTCAAAGCATGGGAAATGTTCTTAACAAACTAGTAAGCACAATACCATAGAGGAAATATTGTGCTGTCCCTAGTTTGCTTATATGCCCACATGTAGATATTGAAATAACCCAGGAAGTATGCCCCCAAATGGTCCTATATACTTTCCCTTTTTACAACCAATGTCTGCCTTTCATGAGTGGGAAGGGGACCATACTTTCATAAAGCGGAATAGCAAAGCCAAAGTGGACATCGAAGGCAATAAACTGGCAACAGGGAAAATTAAAACAGTGACCTGGAGAAAAGCCCGAGAAATTCCTTCCAAGTACAGAGGAGACAATGACCCTTCCCCCCCAGCCCCCCAAAAAAGAGGAAAATAACAAAAGAAAGCTGGAAATTACGGAGAGGTGCCCAACGGAAGGTCCTAAAAAACCCACAAGGGGCTTTCCAAAGGGTGAACCACAAACAATAACTGAGGCGCTGCAGAAGCCAGGTGTCCCTTGAAGATTAAGAGGGTGCCTGGGTGGCTCCATCAGTTAAGCGTCAGGCTTCGGATCCGGTTATGATCTCCTGGTTTATGAGTTCGGGCCCTGCGTCCAGTTCTGTGCTGATGGCTCAGAGCCTGAACCTGCTTCGGATTCTGTCTCCCTCTCTCTCTGCCCCTCCCACACTCGTGCTCTGTCTCTCAAAAAATAAATCAACATTAAAAAAAAAAGAATTGTAAGATAATAGGTCTGTGCTGTTTGGAGCCACCAGAATGTATAACAGCAACTGAATGCTGACACACGGGAGGTCCAAAGCCCCTGTCTGGGTGGGCGGTCCCAGGACCCCCTGCTTCCTACTTGACTTTGGCCGTACCAGCCTGGTGATTACCCACACACGCATCCGTGCATCAGTGTTTCCATGGGCTGACGGGCAGAATAGCAGACCCCTTAACTGACTCTCAATTCAATAGCGGTCTCCCAATTTTATGACCGGGCACTTGACCAGAGAAAAACCATGTCAGGGAGGGTGGTGGCTTCCACAGAGTCTGTCGTCCAGGCTAGGAAATAAAAAAGCCCAAAGCCCATGTCCTTCGATGGCATCAGTCTTGAGGCTCCTGGGGGGACAGACCTATGACTGTCACTTGTACCTGTCATGTCCGTGATGCACGCCCCGGGACATTGTCGCTGTCAGTAGTATTTGTCCGATGAGGAGAATGAATTACAGGGTGCAGAGAAAAGGCAGCATCAGGCAACTTTGGCTCTCGATGCAACGCTTTCTAGAAGCCTTGGAAGGATGTGGTCGCGGCTACACTCAATGCCCAGAGGACAGCGCTCAGAGGCAGTGGAGGTCAGCGCTCTAGAGCAGAGAGATGTGGGCTCAGACCCCAGCTCCCGTACTTAGCTGCAGGGGCTGGCGGGCAAGTCACCTGCGGGTCTGTGCCTCAGTCCCCTTGCCTGTAAAACGGTGTTAAAACAGCCCCTGATTCCATCTTTTGTTGGATCAGATGAGCGGCTGCCTGCAGAGTCTCAGGCCTGGTGGCAGGCACCAGGAGTGCCGCACAGGCATCCGCTCGTGCTCCGTGGCCAACACTTTTCCATCCGCCGAGCCCAGGGAGGGAGGGGCAGACAACACTGGGGCCCACGTCCAGACCCAGAGGGGCTCCTAAGTGCCCAGCTATGCTGGTTCTCCGGGAGACGTCCGAGGACGCACAGCAAGTTCAAGCGCCTCTCCTGTGCCCCTGCAGCTGCGGCCCTGGTGTGTGGAGCCCAAGCCCCCCGGCACATGGGCACCCCTCCCCGCCCCCCACCTTACCTGGATCACTCCTCCCCCTTCCCCCGCCTCTCCGGCCAGAAATGCCTCCGGTAGCTTCAGCATCTTCCCCAGCCAGTCCATCATCACCGTCTCCAGCTCTGTGCACGCTGGACTCGCAGCCTAGCGGGGCGGGAGGAAGGGAATCAGCCACCTGGCAGCTTCTAGATGCTGCCGGCTTCACAAGAGGCTTAAGCATTTCCAAAAGGCCTGTCCCTGGGTGAGATCAATGAACCGGCGCGCTCTCCCTGCCGGCGGTTCTGGGGAGAAGCGGCAGCAGAGGTGGGCCCCCCGGGTGCACACGGCTGCAGGAGCCCTCAGGCTGGCGGCTCTGAAGCACGACCGACGGCCACCCAGGGCATGTGCGGAGCTGCGAGCTCAGCACGCATGACATCCCATTCTCTCTCGCCCTGGAAGGATGGAGGTGGCCACACTCCCCAGATCCCAGAGGAGCCCCAGGAGGGCCAAGGGTTTGCATGGGCCTCTCGGTGACCTCACCATCCTCCACCCACAGACTTGGGTCCCCGGGGACGTCACCCCCTCTCGCCCATCCTTCTCTGCCACAAATCTCTAGAGGCTGGTGTCCGAGCAAGAGGCCCGGTCTTGCAGAATTTCTGGAGCAGGAGAAGGGTTTAGTCTGCCTGTCCCGAGGACGCCTGGGGGGCTCCATCGGTTAAGCATCGACTTCAGCTTAGGTCATGATCTCACGGTTCATGGGTTCGAGCCCCACATTGGGCTCTGTGCTGACTCGGAGCCTGGAGCCTGCTTCGGATTCTGTGTCTCCCTCTCTATCTGCCCCTCCCCTGCTCATGTGTTCTCTCTCTTTCTCTCAAAAAAAAATAAACATTTAAAACAAGTCCAGTCCCAGACGGTATTCAAAAGACTGGGATGAGCTTCAAACATGCGCTCTTTGCCCAGGACTCCTGGGAGAATGGCCAGAAGGAAGGCGCAGCCGTAATCCCCCTGCTGCCCTGTGCTGCATTCCACCAGCCCCTTGCTCATCCCCAGTGAGTTATCTGTGTATTTATAGAAGGATCTAGAAAGACCCACTGGTGGACCGTCCTCCACAGTCATGGGTGAGTGCAGTGAGACTGGACAGAGTTGGGGAGGTGGGATCTAAGTGGCCTGAGGCCTCTGGGAGCCCCCGGGCAAGTTGCTGAGCTTGCCTCTTAGGGCTCGAGATCCTGGACGGTCCTCTGTCATTGCACAGGGGACAGGGCAGGTTGGCCGTGGTCTCCACCCGAGGATGTATGGAGCGCCCCTCACCAGGTGGGTCCCATTGGGGTGCTCAAGGCCACGTGCACACCGTGATGCATGGCTGGTGACAGCCAGCTGGTCGGCCCTGTGGGAGGGTCCTACCTCATCCCAGCTAAGCCAAGCTCAAGGCTTGGGAACCTGCACTCACTGTTAGGAACCCATGTCTCGGCCAGTACAGGTGAGGGACAGGGAGGCAGTCCTCCGAGCTTCCAGAGAAATCACAGTGTCCTCAGAAAGGGCACACGCAGCGGACTAGGTGCCGAGTCACCCTGAAGGGACACGGTGGCTCTGGACGGGCAGAGCGAAATGAAATCTGCGGTAGCATCTAAAGAGAGAAAGCGTCCTTCAGACGGGGGTATGCTCGCGGAGATACAGGGAGGGCACCGAGGCCACCCTGTCAGTGCCCGTGCTGCTGTCACAGGGCAGAGGAAGGCCTTTGGGCACCTGGTGGAGGGATGGTCCAGAGAGGACTCCCCCACAATCCTTCCTGGGTGGCTGACTTCCTCTCCCAGCAACTCTGGGCAGACAGACAAACGCCCCTGTGGCAGAGTGGGGAGCAGGCAGGTGCTGGGTCCTGCAGCTTGGCCCTGCTCATTCATAAACTAACACCCCCTTCCCATTCTCAAGGCCAAGTTTGGCATGAGTCAGCGCCCATGGGACACTCAACTGCAAGGCACGAGCCAGGTGGCCCTCCGGACCCAGAAGGTTAAGGGCAGACCCTGGCGTTGGAAGATGGGTGTGAGCAGCCCTGGCGTCCCTGATGCAGTCAGCACGTGGCTCTACCTGAGTCTTTCGGGCAGCACTAGGGGGGTGGGGGGGAGCAGGGAACCACAAGCAAGAGCCAGCCCTGCCCGCCCCTCTGGCGTTCTGTCCCCAGATACGGTGGCCTCCTCGGAGGCCGGGGCTGGCCCCGTTTCCAGAGCTGCCTGCCCTGCGGCACTGCCCACTTGTCATGGGCGAGGGAGGATGGAGTGGGACCCCAGCAGGTGCAGAGCACATAGAAAAGCTCCGGAATGTCTGGTAGGAATGCAGGTTCCCAGGCTCAGGCTGCAGAAACTCCAGGGCCTGGGCTGTGGTTTTAATTCACACCAAGTCCCTCCGAAAGAAAGCGCGGCTGGGCGCAACTGGCATTTGGTGGCTGGCACCTTTCCCGGAGAGGCGGCTCTGTCTCCCTGTGTTCCAAATCCCCTGAGGAGTCACTCTCTCCAGGGCCAGATCCTTCTCTCCACCCCCCACAGGTGGCCTGTCCCCACGGCAGCCCCCCCCCCACTGCCAGGAGCCCCCCAAGCTCACCCAGGAGAAGCCGATGCAGCCGATGGCCCCGCACAGCATGTCTGCGAGCATGGCCGGGTACGAGCTGGCCGTGGGGAAGTAGGCGAAGAAATAGGGGCTGTGCCAGTGCGTCACCTGCGTGGAGACAGAGCCCAGCCCCGCGTGAGGAGGACCCAGGCCCTCATTTCTTTTTTTTTTTTTTTAATTTTTTTTTAATTTTTTTATTTTTTTTTAATTTTTTTTTTAGCGTTTTTTTTATTTATTTCTAGGAGAGAGAGAGAGAGACAGCGTGAGCAGGGGAGGGTCAGAGAGAGAGGGAGTCACAGACTGAAACAGGCTCCAGGCTCTGAGCCAGCAGTCAGCACAGAGCCCGATGCGGGGCTCGAACCCACGAACCGCGAGATCATGACCTAAGCGAAAGTCGGACGCTTAACCGACTAAGCCACCCAGGTGCCCCATCCAGGCCCTCATTTCAAGGACTCTTCAGTTGGTCTTCCCACCACCTCCTCCATCTCCTAAGCAAGCCGCCCCCTCCAGCGACCATCGCTCCATCACCCTCTGCGTCCCTTGTCTCTTCTGTCTCAGCCTTGCTGGGGGGCCCTGGGGGGGCAGGGTGCCAGGAGGAGGGGAGCAGATGTGCAAGGGCACGTCCCATCTGGGGGCTGGGGCTCAGCAAACCCACTGGGAGTGGGGAGGCTCTAGGGGTGGGAGGGCAGGACTGGCTGGGAATGTCCCAGAGTTTGGGAAAACGATGGGGGAGGGGCTGCTGTTGCTTCTTTCATTTGTTCTTGCTGCTGACATGCCTGTCATGTGAGAACAGAACAAAGCCTTCGAGACTCTCTGTTCCCCTAGGGATTGTCACAGAGTCCCTGCTGAGGGTTGTCACCCCTTAATCAGTGTCCAGGAGACATGACCCAGCTCCCCCGTCACCCCCTCGTGTCGCCCCCAACCTCGGTACCGCCCCATCCAGCCCAGGGATGTTGAAAGCACCCAGGACTGCAAATCTGGCAGCCACTCAGATTTGCTGAGTTGCCCCAGGCCACTGACTGCACCTCTCAGAGTCCCCAGCACCCCCTCAGGTGAAACAAAAGTAGTACTGAGGTGTTCCCACATCTACCCTTCTCGTGGCCCACCTCCGAACCCCCACGGGTCACGTTCATGGTCTGAGGCAAAATGCAAACCCATGTTTCTTTAATAAACAAGTTGCTAACTGTCCATAGGGCCCCCCGTGGCACAAGAGACCCCCCTGATTGTGAAGGTAGCTGACCGGGAACTCTCAGAGAGCTGGGAGCGGTCGGCAGGAATTGCACAGAGTCCTGGGGCCACCCCCACGTCTGCAGGCGAAGCACCCAGAAGCATCTTAGAAGGATGAGGAGGCTGCATGCATGCTCCTGGAGCAGCAGGGGTGGAGGGATGGACGTGTGAGGCAGGAATCTGGGGAGAACGAGGCCATTCAGCCCAGGGTGGGGGCGGGGGTGGCCGGGGCTCTCAGCAGAGCCACAGAGAGACCAGCCTGGGGACTGTGAAAGAGGGGCGATGGTCTGGAGTGAGTGAGGAGCTGAGCATAGCCCCAGCCCGGGGGGCTCAGGCAATGGAGGCCGCTGGTAGAGCTGAGACGGGCCCAGCATCCAGGCCCTACGATCATTTTAGGGGCCCAGAAAACATTTTCTGTTTCTTTGAAGGATCAGAAGAAAGAAGGAAATGCTCAGGTCCAGGAAAGAAATTCATCTAATGCTAACATATTCACTTTTATGTCAACGCCTTCGCAAAGGACCAATGTCCCTGGAGGCCCCTCCCTGGGACCCCTCCCTGCCTGTCGCACCTGGCAGAGGACAGGAATGTGTTTGTTTTTACTCTCAGCTCATGGATGGGTGTTCCTGCCCTGGCTCTGCAGCCCTGCAGATGGAGCCCCCTGGGAGCTCACCTGCCTTTCCTGCAACCACGCAGAGCCACTGGGAGGCCTGGAGTCCTACGCAGGGACCAGAACCCTGACCTTCCCAACGCGGCTCTGCACACTGACTGCCCCCTTCGCGCCGAAAACGTCACGTTCCATGGCCTCTCACGTTCCCCGTTACGGATGGCACAGCTGAGCTCCCCAGATCCCGGTGTTAAAGCTCTAATGCAAACTGTGATGATCTTAGGAATGGGGCCTCTAGTGGGCAATTAGGGTTCTGTTGGATCATGAGGTGGGGCCTTGGCGAGGAGGGAAGGCCATGTGAGAGCATGGCCGGAAGGCGGCCATCCAGCAGCCAGACGGAGCATCCTCTCCAAGAATCAAATCGGGTGGCCCTGGCCTCCGAAGCAAATGTCTGTTGTCTGAGCCGCTCAGCCCTGGGCTGCCTGCGTGTTTGCAGGAGCGGGTGAGGCCACCCTCTCTGCCTGACATTTAGCCACACCTGCCCTGGCTCAGTGTATTTGCACAACCTCAGGGCGAGAACTGGGATCCTGCGCTTCCCTCCACGCGCAAATGTCAAGGCAAACCCCTGGGAGAATGGAAAGTGAGCCGCACATCTGAGAGAGGCGCTCTGGTCCTGAGGAGCAGCCCTACCCCGGGTCGGTGGCCCCAGGGACTCACTAGGACAGAGGTCGGCTTCCTTGGTCGGCATCTGCACAGAAGCAGATGTGTCCCCGAGCTTGAGTGAAATAAATATGTGCCTTCTGTTAAACACAAGGATACGAGGAATGTGCTGTAATTTGAGCAGTGAGCTTCCTTGAAACCAGCCACCTGGGGATTGCGTCCTCCAAAAGTCATAGGAGGACTCACACGCCTATACCAGGGGCTCAGGGTGGGACCTGACCTCGGGATTAGGGGGGAAAGAATACTCACTGTCCTTGGAGCCCACACAATCTGGGTGACGGTTCTGGTTCTGCTGCTTACCAGCTGTGTGACCTCAGGCTGACCACCTAACCTCTCTGGGCATCGGAGAGGTTACCTCTTGTAGTTACCTCAGCTACAAAATAGAAATGATAAGTCTCTCTCCAGCAAGGTGGCTGTGAGGACCCGATAGGAGAGCACGTGTGACCTGCCCAATGCCCAGTGGCTGCTACCCGTGACGCTGGCCCTTCCGTTTTCCAGCATTGGGGGCAGACTTACCCCTGGCATGATTATCTTCTCAACATCATTGATGATATCCTCAAATGTGTCTGGCTCCTCAGGGGCAGAAGTGGGGACCAGCGCCCGAAGATAGCCCGGCTGCACGTCGGGGTACACCTGGCGCCCCTCAATGCCTTCCAAGTAGTCCGCCACAAAGTCCACCATCTCCTTCCCTCTCCTCCGGAATTCACGTGAGTTCATGGTGGCTCAGCTCCGCCAGGGGTAGGACCTTCACAGAGAGAGAAAATAAATCAGTTAGCCAACAGGACGAATAAATCAGTGAGCACGCTGACCGCTGGGGCTGCCTGGGCAGCGACAGAAATACCCAGGTCCCAGGTCCGAAGCACCTCCCCCTGTGTCTACATGGGCGGACACACCGCTGGATTTGGACACTGCACCAAAATGCTGATTCTACCATTCACCAGCGACTCTCAACTTTTCACCGTCTGCATCAATGAAAGGGGCTGGATGGACACACTTTGGTCTCAATCAATCCCAACCTTAATGGCAAATAGCGACCGAGTCTTGCCTTGATGCTTGCCAGCCACTGGACAGAGGCAAGCGAGCATAACCTCGTGAGCCTCTCTGCGCACGCAAGAGACGAACATGGCAATGCCGATCGCTCAGGAAGGTGTGGAGGTATGCCTGTGGCACACGTCAGGCCCTCAGCCCAGAGCCCCGGATGCGCGATTTCCCATCAGCTAGTGTCTGCTTTCTTGCGATGCCCCCTCCCCAGCTGCGATCGCACCCCTGTATCCAACCTGCTTCTCACACACGGTGCTGTTCTTCCTCGTGACATCAGTAAGACACGGGCAACTCTGGTGACTCTGGTAGTAAGGTTCCGCAAAGTCTCCGGGGACAGTGAATTCAGAAACACTGGACCGATCTCCAGGGGCAACATAGGGTGAGGATCCTGGGTCTCTGGTCACATTTATGTCAACCAATCGATACATCATGTTTTATAATTATGTTATATATATAATATCTATCTATATCTACATCTATATAGATGAGAGAGAGAGTGAGCAGGGGAGAGGGGCAGAGGGAGAGAGAGAATCTTAAGCAGGCTCCTCTTGCCTCTTTCCCACAACCCTGGGATCATGACCTGAGCAGAAACCAAGAGTCAGACGCTCAACAAACCAAGCCACCCAGGCGCCCCTTTATGTATTTCTGAAAGACACTTTATTTGATATCGATTGACTCATTAAGTTTGGACTCATGGCCAACTGCACTGCAACTCACACCTGAATGAAGCTTCCCTAACACAGGTGGTTCCTCCCTAAGGCACACGGTGCGTTGCACAGGGAGGACCCCTATGCTGACCTCCAGCACTGTGTCTCTGAGCTATCGTAAATAGCGAAACTACCAAGAATAACACAACAGTGCTAATAACACAAAAGGTGTCATACAACACAGACCACCGGTTGACACAGCAAGGCAGAGGGCTGTCTTCACCTCAGCGGGAAACGACCACACTGAGCACCTCAAATGTGTGATGGTGCTACATGCATGCATGTTGGGAGTGGTCAAGAAAGTGCCAGGAGCATTGATTTGGGGACAAGAAATGGGTTTTAGGAAGGAGGTGAATTTGTACATGTGACATCTGTGAACAATAAGAACTGGCGTAGTTTCAAAACAGGAAACTGGGACAACACAGAGAAAACGGTTTGCCCAGAATCCCACCGCTCAGGATTCAGAAGCATGTCCTTCCAGAACATTCCCTGTATTTGCAAGAGACCACTGTGTGCTGAGCAAGGGGTGCATTTCTGAATCCCGCTCCTCATTGAAAACTTTATAATTCATGAGTGACTTTCCTAGGGGAGTAAGTGCTGGGTGGGGGGTGATTGTAGACCCTCTGTACACAGGCAGCACAGGTTGTGAACTTGGGGTCACCATTCCAATACTTCATCCATTGTTGCCTGTTGTCCATGCTGGGATTTTGTGCATTTTTTTTCTTTTTGACAATTTGTATGACGTGAAAGGTGTTAAAGACAAATGATTCCCTGGACACTTGTTAAATGCAAGATTTTGTTCAAGACTGTTGCAACAGGGGAGGGAGACAGAGCTCAGCTCTTAAGAGACCAGGGCACGTGGGGATCCACGGCCAACAGCGAGGGAGGAAGTAGATGGAACGTCACTCAGAGCACATTGGCTAGGTGTCCAGGGTTGGGGAAGAAGATATGAAGGGCAGAGCCTTCCTTCACGAGCTGGCCAGCAGCACTCTTTGCTAAACTTGGTTTGCAGTAACATTTACTAAAACGAAGAGCGTTTACCTTGTAAGTTCTTTAGAACAAAGTCTTATAGAGATGCATATTTTTGGCATTTTAAAATTACACAGCTGGGGGCGCCTGGGTGGCTGAGTCAGCTGAGCGTTCAACTCTTGACTTCAGCTCAGGTCATGATCTCATGGTTTGTGGGTTCGAGCCCCATGTTGGGCTCTGCGCTGACCATGTGGAGCCTACTTGGGATTCTCTCTCTCTATGCCTCACCTGCTCGCTCGCTCTCTCTCAAAATAAATAAATAAACATTTAAAGAAAAGAAATATTTAAGATTCCATGGCCAGATCTCTCCCCAGAACGTTGTCTCCCCAAAGTGCTCCCCCAGGACAAGAGTGTGCACTTTGCGAGCAATCCTTTTAAGCTGTACCAGCCTCCCAGGTATTGATGGGTCCGTTTTATTCAGATTAATGGGGCTCAACAGGTGTTGCTTGCCTCTTTGCCATGAGGCTTCCTTTTATGAATTGCTTGTCCACTGCCTTAATTTCACTGTTTTTTTTTAATTTCTTTTTTACGTTTATTTATTTTTGAGAGGCAGAGCATGAGTGAGGAAGGGGCAGAAACAGAGGGAGACCCAGAATCAAAGCAGGCTCCAGGCTCTGAGCTATCAGGACAGAGCCCGACATGGGGCTCAAACTCACAAACTGGGAGCCGAAGTCAGACATAACCGACTGAGCCATCCTGGCACCCCTGCATTAATTTCACTGTAGAAGCTCTACTATAATTGGTTTGCCCTTATGTCTGTGACACATTTTGCAGTTGTCTGACCTCATTTTGCTGATAATTTTCTTCTGATCTATAACAATTTCACTTTTTATGTAATCAAATCCCAATATCTTTGCCTTCGTGATTCGTACGGTGTGAATGACTATTCAAAACGCCTTGCGAAGTAAATGTTTGGGCCCCTTGTATTTGCCCTTCTGGGGGAAGGCACGTGCACGAGCTGAAGACTCAGCACAAGGACCTCAGCAGGATGAAGAAAGACGCTTCGGTTCTCGGACACTTGGCTGCTCCTTTCTAGTGGGAACGAAATAGCACAGACAGACGGCCAGCATGAAATATTTCAGGAAAAACAGACAGACACACAGAGACTCGCCCTCAAAAGAAACCATCCCCGTCAAATGGTAGGATGAGACCCAGTCATTATTTTCCAGTGGTTCTGCCATTTATCTGCCAATGATGTCCCACTGAGATCTCTCCAGAAGGCTCTTAGTGCAAAGCCACAGAGAATCTTGTGCTCATTTTGAAGTTGTTTGATATTTCATGCCCCCAGGCTGGGCAGATATTGGCTGGAAGATGTAGACAATGACCAAGGTTGTGTCTGATCCCTTTCCAGGCCCTTTGAAGCTCTTCCACGGACATAATCCGATCAGGGGGCTGGCCAGCTGCCTCCATCCAAGCTGGGTGCACAGAAGCCTGGCTTGTCCCTGAATTTCTTGCTCCCCAGCCCCTCAGTCAGTGCCCGGCTCCCCGGCCCCACGCGCTCAGGAAGGTATGAACCCCCCTGCACCCCCTCGTACCTCCTGTCTGAGCCAGGAGTTACTTGGTTTTGTGATGTCTTGTTCCCCTGACATCCGCTGCTAACTGGGGCTTCTCCACCCACACTCCTCAACTGCTGATTTTGTGCATTCTCAGAACCAATCACTGACTCAGGGCCAGTGTCCTGGCTTCAAGTGCTTGCTGAGTGAGGGATGAATGAATGAATAAATGAATGGATGAATGGAAATCTTCTGGGCCTCTAAACACTTTGTTTGTGAAATATGCTATATGGTGCCCTACTGTCTACCTTTCAGACAGCCATAACCATGAGCTCATAACCATATATTTGCCACAAGAGACAATTGCCCAGGAACAACGGGCCCCTCCCCCATGGAACAGTGACCCACCCTCACCTGTGTCCCTAATGTCCAGGTCATGCCTAGCCTCTGGCCCTCTGGCCTCAGTAATGATTCTGTTTCCCCACTCTAGGCCCTGAATTTCCACCTTGGACTTGAGCGTCCCTCTCCTCTGGTCCCAGTGTCCCCCGCAGACCCCAGATTAACCAGAACCCAAGCCAGGCCCTACGTGGTGTCTCACAGTTATGGGGTAGGGTGGCTGAGTGCCCGTGGGACCACAGTAATGACGCACTTGAACTTGAGCATCCGTGGGACCGCAGTGATGATGCATTTGAACTGACAGGACCAACCAAGTCCACAGCTTGGGTGTGGAGGGGCGTCCATCCCTCTGGGAGGGCTGGGGACCGGCCATGACAAGGCACTCTGTATCTGTCCGTGGTCCTGCCTGCTGGTGTTCCCAAGCTGTGGTCTTGTTCAAACCCTGGGGTGCTGGAAAGTCAACCTTTCCTGGCCTTCTCTTCTAACATGATAAAATGAAAAGTGTTTACATTTTTTACACTATTCTAGGAAAAATAAACCATAATTAAGATTGAAAACAAACACACCCTTCTCCCTCCGGGTCTGTGAGGTCTGGTCTCTTTCCCTCAAGCACATCAGTATAATCGGGGCACAAAAGTAATTGCGCAGATTTTTCCAAGTCACCTGGTTCCTTGAGGAACATTTTCTCTGTGGGCACAAGAGTGTGAATAAAGCCAACACGAGAAACGCTTCTACCCAAGAGCATGAGGAAGCTTCTAGCAATGAGAGCCTTCCAACAATAAGGGCGACTAGCTCTCTGAAAAGAGACCCCCTATGTGCTTCTGTAACTCTTAGGGCTCTAGTTAACAAGTCACGTGGGAGCTTTACGTCATTTAAGTTAGCGTCTTCTCCAGTGGCACCTGGGTGGCTCAGTGACCTCAGCTCAGGTCCTGATCTCGCTGTTCCTGGGTTCAAGCCCCGTGTCAAGCTCTGCGCCAACAGCTCAGAGCCTAGAGCCCACTTTGGATTCTGTGTGTGTGTGTCTCTCTCTCTGCCCCCTCCCCCATTCTCT